GACGGGGGGGACGACTGATATGTTTGAGTTCAAGAAATCTATCACTACACAGAATCAAGAATGTATAGTTATTTAGTTAGAGATTATAGTAAAAGTCACACATTAGTGCTAACTTGAGGTGTTGATACATACTGCCTGACCATGACTGACATATTTTAATTACATGATTATATATACAATAAAGAAGCAAAATGTAAACAGTTTCAAGACATGCATTTTCAAAGTTCTAGTCTCTTATGTGAACCATTAAATAGCCACAATTCGAAATATGACATGCTCTACAAACAGATTCCCTTCAGTGCACATCCACAGGAAGCATCATGTCATGTGTCTGCATCATCGGCTCTGTGTACCATGTAAACACAGCTGCACACAATCCAGATAACACGAAATTAGATTCCCGTGTACATACGTGTTTACAACTGATTTGTACGTTAAGGTGGGGAGTGTATATCTGTGACCATGACATAAAAACCTGCACAAAACAAAGCCGCTGCTCTCCTATCTTCAACAGCAGTGTTAGTCCTGTAATTTGATGCCTGCAGTTTGACAGTATTCTGCTGTCCAGACACAGGTAATCATAAGGTTAATGTAAAGGAACACATAATGAGAGATGGAGAGAAACGCAACGATAGCAATCTATGTCACTTTTTAGCCGTGGAGCTCATTCATACCTAACGTTAACTAGCTGTTAGCCAACTTAGCTTGTTAGCTTTCAATAAGGACTTAACGGTTAACAAGCCAAGCTAACCACACATTACTTATAGGGTTGCTTACTACAAATTAAACAGTTGTTACCTTGTCTATCACTTCTTGCCGTGCCTCTCGTTTACTATGCTTCCTTTCCTCTATGCTGCCCTTACTCTCAAAACTGACTACATGCTCCGCCATGACACTCTCCGAATGTTTTCACGAGTGTCGTAAAGCGCTGCCGTTTACGTCAACAGTTGAATTGTGGTACTTGTAGTACAATACTGCTCCGTGTTTTAGACATTTATTTTAAAGCTGTTCTCAAGCCTTTACTAAGTCCTTTAAAAAACATATGTAATATATTTGACTGTACCTTCCCTCCCATTAATACAAATGGATGTTTTGGATACAAAAAATAAAGACAGAGAGTCAGTCAATCTAAAAAAGTAATACAAATGGGGGACTTCTTCTTTTGGTATAATTGTGTTGTGCACATCGGTATCGTCATGGTGAAACAGAACATTGAATTATTCCTTTTTCAGCACTGAACAATCATATCCCTAACACACCATGCAGGGAAGGAGATATTTAATTTTATTTCAGTATAAATGTTTATTGACTCATGGTAAAGGTACAAATTCATTCCAAATCACAGCACAGCAAGTCACATAGCGTTCATGGCTTTAAAAACGTATTGGTGGTCCATGCATTGGCTTTTCATGATGGAGCACAAGGTTCAACACCCAGGGGAGGGACATCTTTTGTCTTCTGCTATGCTGATGTTAAATCTGGAGAAATTGTCCCCACCACTTTTTTAACAAAGTAATGTCCATGATACGAACACACACACACATACATTTACAGAGTAGGCTGCTACACCTTAATCAATAAACCACCGTCAATAAATGCCACCAAACCATCTCTTGCTCAGCACCACAGTGTTTGTTTGGGTCCCAGAGGATTTAGGAGCCACAGGGGTAGTTTAGTCAGAGCTGCTGACCAAATACCAACCTGCCACAGGAAGGGCCACAACAAATAACCGCGCAACACTCCACTCCCATCAATACCCCATTATTCTACAATTCATTGTGTCTTATCAGTCGTCTGGTAAAACTAATCTGGTTGGTTAATGGGATGTAGTGTGAGTGTTGGTTGCATTAATCTGAAATGAAAGGTTGGATTGATTATCAGTTGATCCATCCTTTGGTCGACTAGTAAAGGCATTTCTTTTTTTATTACATATAAAACTAAGGAATAAATGCTGCCTTTAAATTGTGCGCAAGGGAATTGTTTAATAAGGATGATGTATTTAAGACTATATGTTCAAGGCTGGCAAATAAAAAAATGTCATCAAGAAGGTTTTTCATTTTTAAATCTTTAACTCATACAACCTGAAGTACTGCACATTAACTTTACTCTTACTAAATGCACAAATGCATGGTTTGGAGAATGATCTACTACGATCAGGCGCTTCCTCTTGCAGACACATTTTATAAAAGAGAGAAAAAGTCCTGCTTCTTGAATTAATAAATAGCTTAACAGCCTGAAATGCCATGTTACACATGCACTCCTAACTTGAAAAGGTCGGGCACACGCCATTTACAGCTTAGTGAGTTCATATTATACACCAAGGTCAAAGACTGAGGAAGCAAAGTAGTGAGGTAACTAATATTGTTGAAATGTCACTACAGTGTAAGCACTCTGGAGTGGAATGTCAAAGTTTACACAGCACCTAGAGTATGTTTACAACCTGTGCTTTTTAACATCCCACAACCTTCACATGTTTCAGCAAGCTGCATTTATTTAAAGCAAAAGTGCAGTGCAAGACTTTTTAAATTCTGATATACTGCAGATATTTATTTTCATAGTAATATGTGTAGTGTTCTTTTTCTAGTTCCTTTTTTTTGTAATTGTATATTTCTTCTAAACATTTTTTAATAATGGTTTCACAGTAGTTTTTATATTTTTCATATCTCCTAACTTTCTATTACTGTGTTTTATACCATTTCACAGCAATGCCAATTCGTTGTATGCGTATACCTACTCGGAAATAAACCTGAGACCATGTTACTACCACCATGTACTTTCCAACCTTAGTAGGAATAATGCTAGAAGTAAAAGCACAACAAAGGCAGGCATTTGTAAAGTCATTACATTGATTTATTTAATTTAGTCTTTGTTTACATTGCATTAACTCTTTTGCTTCAACATATATGTGTAGCTCAATTTTAAGTGTGTCACTTCATCTGTTTAAGGCCTTCTCTAGTATAACACACCAGTTACCCTGGTCGTGGTAGCTGCTCTGCACTGTGACTCCTGCCTGCTGAGCACACAGCTGCTCCAGCTCCCCCTGCTGGAACACATGGTAATAGCGATGAAAAACTGGGGCTGGGATGATCTCCGACTCCGACTTTAGAGCAGAACTGCAGGTCTGTGATGTGTCGCAACCTGGAATGGGTTTAGAGCTGTGAGTGGCAGCAATGGTGTCAAGACTTGAATCAGAAAACATGTTGGAGTCAAAGCCCGGACTGGTGGCAGGGTTACAGTCCAATGTGGCTTTAGACCTCAAGGTCTTTTTAGATCTCTCTTTCTGTTGATCCTTCTTCCCACCCTCTCCTGAATCTCCCTCCACTCGTTTTTTCCCGTCTTTCAGATGCCAGGGAACCAAAAGGTCCTTGGTTTCGAAGGCTGTGCGGTTGGTGTGCACACTGAGTTTGCCATCAGTCACATGTTGATTGTTGTCTACTGTCCTGTAGTTGTCTTCTGAATGACTGCTGCTCTGGACACTCGATTTCCCTTGAGGTTCCTGGCTCTCTTCTGGTGAGTTTTCAGCTGGGTTGTGGTTCTCAGGAAGCTCTTTGTTCTGGTCTTTGAGGTACTTGGACCTCTGCTTGTTGTACTCTTGTTCAAAAGCCCAAACGTAGATTAGCGCTCGACCTCCAGGCTTCAAAAGTCTCACCAGCTCCTGCACTGCTGCCAGTCGACGCTCCTACAACACACACACAAACAACTTAGTCGGGAAGCAGAAGCCAAGGCATTTAATGGATATTCCAATCATTAAAAACAATATTATAAATTATCAATGTATGTATGAAATAACAGTTTATTCATATGAATAACTTCTTATTTTAAGAATAATACAACATTGTCAATTTCAGTGTTGCCAAATACAAATCAGTGCCACCAAACCCAACAGTTCCTGATCCCTTTGAGGATACACATTTGAGAGGGAATTGTCCCAAATGTGGATATACTGTATGTTTACCCAAAGTTTCAAGCTTGTAGCCTGTGGTTGAAACAGTAGAAAAGTTCCTAAGACACTAAAGAAAAAGGTTTCATAGGGCCCTAAATATAGTTTTAGTCAAGTGACCGAAGAACATTGTTGTTTTTTGTGAGGGTTAATCTCAGCGTGTGTACCTGTGTGGAGAAGTGGTGTATGACAGCTATAGAGATGCAGGCATCACAGGAGGCTGCTCGCAGAGGGACACTGAGCGCATCGGATACAAACGCCTGGAAACCTCTTTCTGCACAGATCTGTACCAGAGCACTGCTGCGGTCACAACCAACCTGGAAAGACAACAAAAATGGGCAAACAAGAAATCATTCACAAACAGAAAACCAGGAACAGAGAGGTCTAAACATGTAAAAGGTCAAAACAAGACGAGAATCAGTATTTTTTTCATGTTAATGTAAGGGCATTCTTTATTTAGAATTTTACCTAATTTATATAATATAGCGCAGAGTCAAACAAGCTCTTATTCTTCCTTTAGCCAATAAGACGCGAGAAAGTCCAGAGACAGAATGGGAAAATATTAAACAAGGAGTTTGAGCAAAAGACATAGACGTCAATTTAAAACATAGAAGAAGACATTAGATAAGTGAAAGAAAATAAACAATTCAGTAACACATTTGGTCCCAGGGAGCAATTCAATCACGCATCTTATTGCTTCCTCCCCAAAGAGACAGAGGTGATAAGAGATGGTGAGAAATACCACTCGACTCTCAATCTGTTACTGACATGCACACACACAAAGGTCTAGCCTCTTCATTTAAAGTGAAAATGGGAAGGTTAACAGTGTTATTCTGCAATGAGAGAGGTTGTGAGAAGGGAAGAGGGAGAGGGGGGAATATAGAGATGAAACAAAAAGAAGGCGCAGAAGGAATGAAATAAATGTAGGAGAGAAAAACAGAAACTCCGAAAGTTGGTGTGTGACCTGCATGGTTAGAGTGTTCTCAGTAATGATTTATCACGGTCTGAGTCAGGATAAGCTGCTTACACGCACCTCCAAATCCCAAAAATGAATATCCCAGTGTGCATACGTAAACAGTAAATGTAGGATATTGCCATGGAAACTGAGCTTAAAACAATGACAACCAGCAGAAATCCCAGTGAGAGCCACACAGGCATCAGCACTGAGCATATCAGTATTTTTAGCTCATTTAACACAAGACCTAATGTTTACGCTTAACAACCAAGCTACTTTCTGATTACTGCCAATTCATAAAGCTTTGTACTTGTATGTTAAAATGTTGACATGTTTTAGATTTAGAAAAAAAATCATTAAGCACATGACTTTACATAAGGAGGTAAATAAGTAAAAACAGCAGCTACTTACCAACGGAAAGTGCAAAGATACAAACCTTTGAACAAATATATTTTGAAATCATTTTCTCTTGGAATAGAGGCTTATCATAACAGTTACCGGTAATTATGTTTGGAGCTAAGTTTACAGTACCGGTATATGCCTTCTTTCTGAGAGTGGGAGGATCACATTTAATTTGAGTTACAGTAGGGAAAACACTTGTTGGAACAAGTTTAGCCCTGGTTAGTAGGCCTGTATCATATGTCTGCTTTTATTTTGTATTTAAAGCTTCTACTGAGATGTTCAAATGACGCTTTGAGTGTCAGTCGTCATATTTGATGATGTCATAACCCTATAAATAGTCCTCAAACTAAATCCTCAATTTGAATAAAGTGATTAATCTGATTAATTTAGTTATATATCTTTAATGAATGTTACTCATGTCGGCAGGAGGCTAATCCAATGTGCTGTTGAACTGTAACACAGGAAGTTGATTTTTTGACCTCAGTGAAAGTGTTAGAGTTAGGGAGAACGGCAACACATATTGATTGAAGAAGGATATATGAAAGAAAAAAAGCATAATGTGAATTTTTTTAATGTTTACAACAACCTTTTTATAAGAACTTTTGATATTTGAACCTAATAATCTGGATATATTGTAAATGTGTGGAACACACAAGTTGGAATCAATGCTACAAAGCCAACACTGAAATAAAATTCTGAAAATAACATAAAAAACTCATTATTTTGCTATTTCTGCTGCAAATTATTTAAGGATCGTTTGTGAAACAGAGCCTGACGTTATGAATTGATCTGTTCATGACTTATGAAGTTGTGAGGCATTCTACAGTGGGGATAATCGAGGAAGAAGTAGCAAAAGAAACTGAATAGAGAAGGACATTTCCCCACGGGGATCACTGAAGGATCACATAATCACAGACATCACTGTAATACATGAGGACACTCACTGCACTCAGCTCGGGGTTGACTCCCAGGTATTTCCCGTTCCCACAGCCCACATCAGCCAGCACGCTGCCAGGTGGGAGCGAGGACAGGAAGTGGCAGACACGAGGCCAGGGGGAGTGGCGGGTGCTGCTGAAGTGTGAGGCGATGGCATCGTACACCCGGTGCACATACTGCTCCTCCAGAAGGGCCGCGTCGGCATGGCAACAGGGTAGTGAGGGAGGGGGCGGCGGAGAGGGTTCTTGGGGGGCTCCCTGACTGTCACAGGCAGAGGGGAAGGCTGGAGAGAAGGGGGGGAGGAGAGGGAAAGGGGTTAAATGGGGGAGATAAAGGTGTGTATCATCAGCATGTATCATATGTACTTTACAGATGGTACTTTTTTATTTTATTTACAAAATGTGCCTTGGGTTGTCAAATGCCGGTAGGAAATGATGTGTTTTATTGTTCACATTCAAGACTCTCACCACAGCGGCAGGGTTCCTTTCTGATCTTGCGGAAAGTGAGAGAAGTGCGGGTGCCCCTCTTGCTCAAAGTGAGATTGCTGCTAGTCTGGAGGTCAGGGGTAATATCACCAAAGGATTGTGGGTCGCACGCTGGCACCATGTCAAACTTACGAGGAGTTATCCTGAGAGAAGATAACAGACAGTTAGTGTAGTGTTCCACAGGCTTACATCTGCACTTTATTGTGAATACCAGAACATGTGACCAAATCCTGAGCCTGTCATTGGTTTATCTTCATGTTGGAAGGGATTAAATGACAAACTGCAATAAAGCCCAGATTTACATCAAGAAATTACTTTTCCCCTTTAATGGAAAAGAGGTAGAAAAGACCTGTCACTAATGTGTGAATCAACCTAAGGCTCATGTTAGGATAAACTGACTGACGGGTCCATCTGACCCAGGCCGGCTCACCCATGGGTCCAGAGGAATCTGCTCTCTCCCTTCATCACCAGGAGGCTCCGTTCTGGTAAAACCACGGCAACGAGGCGACCATCGGGGTGACGGAACTCCATCACCGTCTGCATTTAAAATACAAACATGCTTATGAAGGAATACTGAGGAAGTCACTCACTCACACAGCAAAAGGAGGATATGACTATAAATATTTCTTTGCAAAATTGCAATTGGTTTAGTTTTTATCATTTTATTGTGTATTTTAACAAGGCCATATGTAGTGTGGCTGTTTGATGTATGGACATTTTTACTAGACCTTTGAATAATCAGTAGTTATGTGTCTAATTTATGTATTTATAACAATTGTTCATGCAATATTAAATGTGCTGAGTGAGTTATAGTCTGTAGATTAGTACATTTTCTTTCCTAAAACGTAATTATTATTTCCAAACCACAAAACTGCAGAATCAATAAATATTCAATTATGAAAATAATGCATGAGGTCACAGAGAGGATAAAAACAAACACACACACACACCCTGTTATCTCTCTCACTAACCACTAACCATCTCCACCCCAGCGCTGGTGTTTGATCCTGATGTTTTCTTACGGCGCATAACAGCATGAGCCCTGCTGGGAAATTACATCTACACAATTTCAAACTGCTTCCCTCCAACTTCTGACAGCAGGAAAATTGGATTTTGTGAAGTAGAAGTGTGTGTTTGTGAGTAAGTAAAGGACTGATAAGTGTTTGTGTATGATTGTGAGAGAGCAATATACATGCATCACCAGCAAATGATCAGATTTTTGCCTAAAACCACAACACACACACACACACACACACACACACACACACACACACACACACACACACACACACACACACACACACACACACACACACACACACACGGTGCTGTTCCCGTCAGAAGAGTTTTGGCCAATCAATGAAACCAGTGGAATGTGACTAAATCAATGTTGATGCTGCGAGCTACGCTTCACTACAAGACCATTCATCATTCAGACACACGTGCAGGCACGCACACTCCTCCTGCAAACACCAACAGGGTTATTAAACCTGTAAAGCTATTAAATAAAAGACTAATTCATTTAACTGCAGAAAAGTCTATACGTTTTTTATTCAGTTTATTAACTTGATATATTTTAGAAGCAATGACTTCCTCAGGTGATAGACTGAAAGTGAGCTTTACTTTACAATGCATTGAAGAATTGATCGCAATAGGATCAACTTTCTACAGTTACACATACAATACTAATAAAACCCCAGGGAATAGGAATCTCCAGTACATCGGGTTATTCACGGGTACCAGCAGTTGTTTTGATTTTTCTGCATGTTTTTCTTTTTGTTTAATAATGTATGCAGAGTCCTCCCTTTGTGTTGAAAAAGTTAATCCCTTGTATCGTTTTTCCAAATAAATGCTATTCATATTCTTTATAATCACGTCAACATATTTATAAAACCTTGCTTTTAGGGTTTGAAATAGTTAATGTCATGCAATTATTAAACCCTATGTAATTGATATCTTTGAGTGTTGTGTTGTGAATCTGTAAATGTTGAAGTATTGATGGAAGAGCTCAGCCTTGGACATGAATCAGGTGAACTCTACATAGGTATTTGTCAAATGTCCTACTAGTGCTTAATAAATCATTTTTTGTTTTGTTTGCAAAAGCCTTTCTTTTTTGATATTGTTTCCACGTTGTGAAGCCCTTAATCTCTACTGAAGATCTGGGACACAGAACGCACTGCACTACACACACATGCTGTCTGTCAGTCTGTGTGTGACAGATGCTGTGACAGATGACAGCTGATTGCTAATAGAGCCCCTGCTCTTTCAGACGAGCAGGGACAGATGGGTGTTCGTCTGCAGAAGCCTCCCTGCAGAGACTAAATCAACATCCCAGCACCAGGTGAGTAGTCAAGGACAAAGCAAATCCCACGGTTTAGAAAGGTTAATCTGTATCTGTCCACAACCAAGGGGACGCCTCTAAATGAGTCATTTACTACGTACTGAATCCACTGAAGGCCACTAGTGTGAGCATGAGAATTTGACAAAATAGAAGTGTGTCAAAGATGGTGCAAAGCAGGGGACTACATGTCAGTAAAATCGCAAACAGACAAAATCACACTAACCTGAGACAGATGAATCAGTCAAGTGAAGTGAAGGAAACAAGAAAGGCATACAATCATAAAAACATACGTCTGATGGCACTTAGTATATTTCCATGTGCACCTGCCTTTTAGCTCTGCATCCCTGATCTTTGAATGGTTAACTTTCTTTTAAATGATGGATGGTTGCACCTTGAGCAGCGTCGGTCGATATTGGCTACACACACTGATTGATGAATTGTATGGTTGGGTCAATTACCAAAACACAGGGCTGTTGGGAGTTGTTCCCTGAACAGCATGTCAATTATATTTTGTTAAAATGTTTAATATTACAAAATGACGGACTGACTTTCTTACCTTTGCCCCCAGGCTCAGTGACATAATGGTGTCCTCAAAGGCAGAGTGAGTGTCCACATGAGGGGGAATGCCTGAAAATATTATAAAATATACATTAAAATTGTTGGACAAGTCGAGATGCATCAAGGTTCTTTCAAATAAATAAGTGTTTAGATCCAACTTGTTTTGTTGGATGTCTGATGGACACCATTGAACCTTTGGTGATGTGTGACACTCAAATCATACTGGAATGTAACAATACATTTGAATTGATGTGCTTGAAACAAATCTTTAATTAAAATCCTTATTTCAGCCCTCAAAGTTTTGCCAGCACTGCAAATCTGAAAAAAAAAGGGACCAATGACTTTTATTATCCCTTATAATATAATGTTGGAAAGGTTTTGCTGCCACCTGTTGGTATGAGTTATTCAAATCTAAATGTTTGTCTGTATTTTGTGAGAACATCCAAAGAGTGTTTTTAACTAGAGCGTCTGAAAATGCAATAAGTCGTCTTTAAGTTTTGCACTCTTTTAATTGAGACACATTGTTTAAGCTGCAGTTATGGTTAGCAAAGAACTCTGCAAGGGTCCCTATAAATCAGTTAATCCACTAAATATTGATTTAATGTACTGCTCCAAGGTAAAAAGACATAAATCTTATATATTGCATATCATTTGTGTTTTGACCAGCATTCTCATGCACATGGTCAGTCATGTTGACATAGCCGTGTTAAATCCTGTGAAACGTATCTTAGTCGGTACCAAATACAGTCATTAGAGACACAGACTGGAGTAACTCACCCTGTCCAGACTCATACTGGTTGACAGTGAGCTGATCTGGCATGATGTCGATGTGTTGGTTCTTTACACACCGCTCCAGAACAGGGAGACACTCCTGAGGAATACCTGGATATACAGGGACACAAACACATTTATGAGCTACTATAGTATATTTTTGACCTTTTCGAAACCATTACAATTAGAAGCAGTCAAGAGTACTATATAACGTCATATGTCCAATACATGAGTTAAACATTTAAATAAATATATGGAGGTATCATACTGTACTTGACATTTTCAAAAATACAATACTCAAATTCCCAAGCTGAGCTCCAAAATATATTAATAGGTGGTAATTTTCTGCTTGAGAATAAGTTTGGAACTTGTGTTTTCTGATATTTCGCAACTTTAACTGATAGTTTCTCGAAATACACAGCGATGCTTTGCGGTGAATAAAATGTGTTCATGAAGGAAAGTAGTGTTGGCCAAACCTATCATGTATGAANAAACATTTAAATAAATATATGGAGGTATCATACTGTACTTGACATTTTCAAAAATACAATACTCAAATTCCCAAGCTGAGCTCCAAAATATATTAACTATATAACTAACTAATAATATTAACTGTGGTAATTTTCTGCTTGAGAATAAGTTTGGAACTTGTGTTTTCTGATATTTCGCAACTTTAACTGATAGTT